TCCCTTGAGGAACTGCCTCGATGAGATCCAGCTGTAAGGCATTTTCTCAATTAGTGATCAAGGGTGGGAGGACTCATTGTGGGTGGTGCCATCCCTGGGCTGGTAGTCCTGGGTTCTATAAGAAAGCAAGCTGAGAAAGCCAGGGGAAGCAATCCAGTAAGTAACATCCCTCCATGGCCTCTGCATCAGCTCCTGCCTCCAGGTTCCCGCCTTGTGTGAATTCCTGTTTTGACTTCCTTTGGTGATGAACAGCAATATGGAAATGTAAACTGAATAAATCCTTTTCTCCCCATCTTGCTTCTTGGTCATGATGTTTGTGCAGGAATAGAAACCTTGACTAAGACAGCTACCTAGCGAGAATGTCTCAGCAAAACAAAGCAAACAGACATACCCCAAATAGAAAAGAATGCTTGGCCAATGACTGAGCTTGAAGCTCAGAAGATCTTGTGACTCTTATTGTGCCTTGGAGTGGCTAGGAAAGCGCAGCCTTCAGAGAACGTGTGGCGTACAACAGTCTGAGTGAAGGTGAGCAAAAGAAAAGGCTCCTCTAACTGGGACGCTGGCCAAGAAGAAGGGGAAGAGTTACTTGCTTGAGATACTATACTTGGGATAGAAATCCTAGCTACCAAGGATGTCAGGTCTCCTGGATCTTGAATTGCAAATAGCTGTGAGCCACCATTCGGGTGCTGGAACTGAACTTGGGTCCTCTGCAGGAGCAATAAATGGTCTTAGACAGAAAAAAAAAAATCTCTCCAGCCTTTCCCCATTCTTTAAAATAATCATTGCTAGGCATGGTGGTACATACCTTTAATCCTAACACTGAAGAAGAAGACTAGATCTCTACGTTCAAAACCACCACGCTCTATATAGTGGCTGTGCTGGAACTCACTTGATAGATCAGCCTGGCCTTGAACTCACAGAGATCTCTGATTCCCCAGTGCTGGGATTAAAGGTGTGTGCTATGCTGCTCAGCAGTACTGACACTTAATTGCTGTTGTTTGGTCTTCACTTTTAGCTTGGAGGTATTTAGAGTCATCTCGGAGGCACAACTTTAGGTGTTTCTGGCAGTTTCCATAAAGGATTAACTGAGGGGAGATGATGCAAGATTAACACCTTCTAAATGGTGGCTGAGATAGAAAGATGAATAAGGAAAATGCAGCGATACCTGCCTTACATTCTTCTTTCTGTCACCTTCTGCAGGTATTGAAGGCTTCTTCAGCCTTCCAAGGTGGACTAAATGAAACCTGGCTGCTCTCCAGAGAGCTTTCGAGTCTTCTCACAGTGAAGCATCCAACTTTGTGGACCCAGTAGCTACAATGTTACCAGCCTCTCTAACATACGGATGGACGTTGTTGGAATGCCCAACCCTTATGCTACAAACCAGCTAGCAAATCCCCTTTGTACACAATCTATTAGTTCAGTTCCTTTAGCTCAGGCTGACTAATACAGCTGTCCTTCGTGAATACCTGCTCTCCTCCCCAGCAATCAGATGTCAAGCTCGGTAAACTTTACTTCCCAAGAAAACTCTTCAAGCCATCTCCGCTACTACTTATGGCCTTTGCTCTTTGTCTCGCCTCTTCCCCCAAGAACAATCACTTCTTAGTTTCCTTTCCAACCTTCTCTTTCCACTTGCAATCTTGTCAAGAGCAAATTACCACTAGGTGTGGTGGTTCATATCTGTCATTCAGCACTGAGGAGGTAGAGGCAGAAGTGTTGGTCTGAGTTCAAGGTCAGCCTGGGGTATGATATGAGATTCTATTATAAATAAGCAGGCAAGGAAACACACACACACACACACACACACACACACACAAATAGGAACATCAGTAACTAACATTAGTAAGTCATCCTCAGCATTAAAGCTGTGTAGCCCAACAAACAAGACCCTTCTGATCATCCAATCCACCACTAGGAGTACCCTAAGGACCCAGGACTTCTTCTTGACATTCAGTTCCAACCTGACTGCTGTTCCATTTAAAATATAGATCTTGGGGCTGGAGAGATGGTGCAGCAGATAAAAGCATTGGCTGCTCTTCCAGAGGACTCGGATTGTTTCCCAGGACCAACACGGTGGCTCACAACTGCCTGTAACTCCAGTTCCAGGGAATCTGATGCCCTCTTCTGACCTCTGAGGTCATGCATGCATGCATACATACATACATGCAAGCAAAATACTCATTTACATAAAACAAGTAAATCTCAAACCGCAAAACATTAAAATACAATTCGAGCTGGGCATGGGGATGCACACCTTTAGTCCCAGCTCTCAGGAGTCTAAATAGCAAGTTCCAGACCATCTAGAGCTACAGAGTGACTTCCTGTCTCAAAAGAAAGGAAAATAACAATAACAACAACAAAAAAGTTTGAATGAGACTAGCTGCATAGGCTCATACATTTGAATGCTTAGTCACCAGAGAGTAGAACTATTTGAAAGGATTAGAAGGATTATAAGGTGTGGTCCTGTTGGAGGAAGTGTGTCGCTAGGCTTTAAGGTTTTAAAAGCCCACACCAGGCCTGACTCTCTCTGCCTGCTGCCTGCAGATCGAGGTGTGAAGTTCTCAGCTACTGCTCAAGCACCATGTATACAGCCATGCTCCCACCATGCTGAAAATGGACTAACCTCTAAAACATAAGCAAGTCCCCAACTAAATGCTTTCTTTTATAAGAGTTTCCTTGGCCATGGTGTCTTTTCACAGCAAGAGAACAGTGACCAAGACAATATATATATATATATATATATATATATATATATATATATATATAATCTTTTATTTTTTTTTTTTGAGACAGAGTCCCACTAAGTATCCCAAGCTGGCCTCAAAATGAACTATGTCAATTTCGCCAATGCTGGAATTGCTTGCTGTGATGGTTTGTATATGCTTGTCCCAGGGAGTGGCACTATTAGGAGGTGTGGCCCTGTTGGAATAGGTGTGTCACTGTGGGCATGGGCTTTAAGACCCTCACCCTAGCTGCTTGGAAGCAAATCTTCTCCTAGCAGCCTTCAGATGAAGATGTAGAACTTCTTCGCCTGCACCATGCCTGGCTGGATGCTGCCACATTCCCACGTTGATGATAACAGATAATGGACAGAACCTCTGAACCTGTGAGCCAGCCCCAATTAAATGTTGTCCTTATAACGTTGCCTTGGTCATGGTGTCTGTTCACAGCAGTAAAACCCTGACTAAGACACATGCCGCCATGCCAGACACCAAACCATGGTTCTTCTTCTTCTCCTTTCTGTGCCTCTGTTTGCAATGTTCTTTTCCCCAGGAGTATCACCTGTCATCTATTCACAACATAAGTCTTTTGTGCTCAGTTCTCCAAGGAATTATTCCTCTATCCTTTCTTCCAGGACTCAGTGTGCCCTTTCAGCTGGATAGGTAGCCCTCCTAGATGTTCCTGTAACATCCCACAGACCTCTCTGATATTTCAGAGATGTTTGTCTATGATTCTTTCAGACAAAGCCTCAGATCTGTGCTCGTGATTATATTCTCATCCCTGAGTAGCGCCTGACTGACCTATTAACTGAGCCAGGTCCTTTGGCTGCTTAAATACCTTCCTCTGCTTCTGTTTACCCTTAAGGTAAAGAAGAAAGTTCCTCTCTTTTTAGACAGGGTTTCCCTGAGTAGACCAGGCTAGCCTGGAACACACTATGTAGCCTATGCTGGACCTGTATTTGTCATCCTCTTTCCTCCATCTCCCTAGTCTTGGCATTATAGGCATGTCCTACTATGCCCAAATCATAAAAACAATTCTTTAAAAATTTTAATTTATATTTTACTTACTTATTTTTAATTGTGTGTGTTTGCATGTGTGAGTGCGTACCTGTGAACATTCATGCATGCACACTTTTGGAGGCCAGGTATGTCAGATCCTCTGAAACTGAAGTTACAAGCAGTTGTGAGCTTCCCAGTGTGGGGGCTGGGAACCAAACTGGGTCCCCTGCAAAAGCAGCATCCGCTCTTAACCACTGAGCTCTCTCTCCAGCCCCTCATGAAGGAAATTTATAATTGGTGTCACAGAAACATCCTTCAAGACTTTCCCTGGCTCTCCCTCTCTGCTCTACCTGCTTTACACTGCGCCCTTTTGCTGGTAGTCGCCTTGACCACGTTCATTGCCCTAAAGTGCTTCTCCACCGCTCTTGACTTCCAGACTGTGATGTGACCTCTGTTAACTTCACTTCGAATTCTTTTAGGTTTTTATCTACCAACTCCCATGAAAATAAGAACCAGCTAGTCTTTCTCATGCTTCTGGCTATCCTGCCCTATGCATAACAGACACTCAATACATTACATAAACCATAAACAATGCAATTCTGACCCTATGAATCTCTCTCTCTCTCTCTCTCTTCCCCACCCCCCACCCCCTTCCTCTTGTCTTTAGGCCATCCCAGCTAGGGCAGTTTTTTGTTTTCTTTTTTAGTTTATTTCATTTTAATGAAGGAGGGTTTTACACAGACAGGGGGTTGGTATCAAGCTTCCTATGTACTTCTGAGTTTCCTGTCTCTAACTCTCCACTGCCAGCACGTTAGGCAAGAGCCACCATACCCAGCTTATATGGTACTGGGAATGGAACCCTGGGTCTCCCGTATGCCAGGGAAGCACATTACTAACTGAGCTCCTGTCCCTACACTGTGGTCTAAATAACTAGGAAGAGGCTATCAGAACAGGGCATGAGGCAGGATGGCCCTCATCCCAGCTTCTAGCTCAAACTACATAGATAAGAAAAGATGGGTGTGGGGCCATTCTAGGAGGCTAGAGTGCTCACTAGGACTGGCCTCTGGGGCCTTGGGGCATTGCAAGCACTTCTAGAGGACATGTGCTCAGCTGTCCAACTCTCTCCATACCTTCAATTCTACATTCCTCTCTGCCACATTCCCCAGTGGAGGTCCCTCACTGGTTAACACTTCCTTCCTGTATCCCTCCCATCACTGTACCATAGGCAAAGGCAGGAAGGTGGAGGAAGATGCTGGAGAACAGGATTGAGAACCCACTCTGTGGTTGTTGGTTTTTCTCAGCATCTTTATTTGTGTCTAAGAGGAAGTAAACATTGATCCCTAGGTATCCCAATACACTTGGGAGTGGCTAAGGAGGGACCGAGAAAGGGTGACGGTGGTGAGGGTGGGCCATCAGCTTATCACACAAGTGCCTTTCTCCTTGAAGGGATTCTTGTCTTCTGGGATGCCTTTGAGAAGAGGGTCGGTCCCTGCTTGGGTCTCTACATAATCCTTGATTTCCTTTCCTGTCTTGGAAATCTGTAAGATGACAAAACATGGTCACAACTCTTGTTTGTTTTTCAGAATCCATGACTTGGCAATCAGAGGAAGATGGGCAGGGTAGGGATGAGGTCAAAGAGAAAGGGGGTAGGAGAAAGAGGCAGACAGGAAGCTGAGTCCCTTGGACCAACCCTCAAACCCCTAATGGGATCATGCCAGCCCAGCCTGGAGACACAGCTCTCAGTATCGCCCCTGTGCCCAGGAACATGAGGTGGACATCAACTATCTTCTACAGCCCAGCCCACCCCAGTGATGCATCCTGTGCCTGGTGTGTCCTCAACTTTCAAACAGAAAGAGATATGGAAGCCAAGAAGAGTGACTGCATGCTCACCGGATCACGTGGGTTCTTCACTTCCTTCTTCAGCTGCTCCACCTCCATCCTCAGCAGCTCCTTCTCACTGAGATCCTGGGCCATCCTGCCCTCGAGGGAGACCCAGGTCCTGACAGGATCCCACAGCCATGAGCATTTCCCCTCCAATTCTACACTCTTCCTGTTCTTAACCCCCAGTCAAGGTCCCTCGTTGGTTAACATTTCTACAATGCATCCCTCCACCCAATGTGCCCTCCACTGCTTGCTCTATCCTGAGCAAAAACTTAGAAGGACTGGACATGACCTGTGAGCTAGGGGTGGCACAATGAATAAGGACCTCTTTATGGAGGAAACAGAAAAAGAGGAGGAAATGAAGTTTAAGCTGGAAAATTTGGGATGAAGTGACTGCTCTAAGTGATGACTCAGGGGGATGCTTTGTTCTAGGTCCTGATGGGACAGTATGCCCAGTGTTAAGGCTAGGAGTTTTGGAGGCACACAGAGTCCAGCAGTGACCCCCCCCCAACTCTGCTGCTTCCTCCTGTGCAGACTTAGACAAGTCACACAGATTCCTTGGGTCTTAGTTTCCCCATCAGCAAATGAGTATAACAGCAGTAACATTGTTTGTCCTTTGAGACAGCGTCTCATGTAGCCCAGGTTGGCCTCTTATATGCAGCTGAGGATGACTTTGAACTCCTGATCCTTCCACCTCCTCCTAAGTTCTGGAATTACAGGCTTGTACCACAATACCTAATTTATGTGCTACTGGAGATGGAGCCCAGGCCACTGAGGACGCTAGGCAAGCATTCTATAGACTGATCTACATCCCTGATCCCACTATTATTGTGAGAACTAAAAAAATAATGCTTGGGGTTGCTGGAGAGATGGCTTTTAGAGCACTTATTGGTCTTGCAGAGGATGAGGTTTCGGTTCCCAGCATCCTCCTAGTGGCTCACAACCATCTATAACCCCCAGTTCCAGGGAATTCAATGCCCTCTCCTGACCTCCTGACCCAGGAGTGCGTGTGGTACAGTATATCCATGCAAGCCAAACATTCATACATATGAAATAAAAAAGACAGTAATGCACGGGAAGCATACTGCCTGGCACATAATGGCCAGGGCACATTTCTTCTTCTTCTTCTTCTAATTTCTGACAATAACATTATTACCATGAAAACTCCAGGTAACCAGGAGGGAGCCAGGCCTGGTGCTTAAACTTAATGCTAAGACTAGGTCGCAGCCCAGTTCCCCAAAGCCTCCTTACCTGTTAGAGCTCTCTCCAAATCACCAGTCCAGGACCCAGACACAATGGTGTTTGAACCTCCTAGCGCCTCATCAGCTGAAAATCTTCAGATAAAGCAGATGGTTGGCAAAGCCAAATCTCTGCTGCCTAAGCTGATCATGGGCTCAGGGTTCTAAGTCCTGATCCTAGCTGAGCCTCCCAGCCCTTCACTCCTTCACAGCGGACACTAACGTTCTAAAACAGGCCGCCTCCATCGTGGGTCCCTGAGCACACATCAGCCTCTCTCCTTGAGTGACCACACCCCCTTTCCCTGCCCCACAGCTTCCCTCTAGCCTACTGTACGGCTTGCCTGTCTTTCTCCATCACAAAGCCTGCCCCTCCCCATGCGATTAGCTTCTAGCTTTCCCCATCCTGAAGCCCCTCCCCCATGCTTTCTATTTGTGGGTTCCATAATTTCACCGTTCAAGGGTCTTCAGGCTCACTCTTCATTCGCTCCATAAAGACATACCCTCAGTTCCAATGCTCAACAGTTAGTATCCAGTTGCCGTGTCCACCCTAATCCCGTGTCCTTTGCTTCTTGGCCTCCGTGTCCTCCCTGGGTGTGGAACTCCCTTCTCTTCAGTCCCCAACACTCCCCTACAGCCTGCTCCTTCCCATTGCCTCTCCCAGGACCACCTGACACCACTATGACATTTAGCAGAGCAGAGCTCCTGCTTGGCTGACATTTGTCCAATAGCAAGGGACATTCTTGAGGAAATGTTAAGGAACCAGTGTAACCACACTGACTGAGGTTCCTCTTCTGCCAGGAGGATGACAGACGGGGAGGGGGAGGGGCCCTGCAAAGCCATCCCAGATGCAGGATCAAATCCCACTCAGCTGGGAGCTCCTTGAATTCAAGGTTAGGACAGGCCCATCGGCCCATCCAGTTCCCGGCTGATGCATGAGCCCCGCTCAGCACTCAGTCCGTCAGAGCTTCCTCAAGCCCACACATCCACCTGGAATGGTGCTATCTCACAGACGAGGCCTTCCTGTGGCTCAGTCCTCATACTAGCTAGTTGGTCAATTTCATCTTCCCCTACCTTCATTAGGTACAAAATACTGGTCCCAGGACTTCCTACCTGACCCTTCACAGGCTTGCCCACAATTATTCAGGAATTCTAGCTGTGTCTTCCTGGTGTCTAACCCTGATTCTTCTTGCGGCAGTGTGAGCTGTTTACCACTGTAGCTGTTCTGCCAGCCCGGCCCCACCCCCCAGTATGACTTATCTCCATATCCTAGTCACCTTCCACTCCCCAATCCCATGGTGACTCATCCCAAGCTTCCCAAGGAAGCCCCCACCCTCTGCCCTTTCCTCCCCTCTTCCATGAGTGGAAAATCCACCCCCATAGCGGGCCAGCCCCTTCCTCCTGTCTCTACTACCCCATCCCCCCATCAACTAGCTTCCTCTCCAGGACCAGGGAGCAATCACAGATGCCCCGACCTTGGCTTCCTTTGCCTGGTGAGATTGGGAGACTGAACCCCCACCAGGCCCCTGGCTTCCCCCTTCTCCTGAGCAGGGGACAGAGAGGCCCAGGCCCAGGGCCCAGGGTCTGACTTCCTCTTGTCCCGGAATGAGCATGCCTACCCCTTTACAGGCAGGTTTGGGTCTCTCACGCAGAGGAAACCAAAAGCAGAGGGAGGGAAGGCAGAGCGGCCAATCAGGGACAGGGTGAGGCTCAAAAACCCAGCAGTCTCCCCAGGGAACCCCACCGAGGTCGAGCCATGGCGGAGCTGCAGCAGCTGCAGGAGTTTGATATCCCCACGGGCCGGGAGGCTCTGCGGGGCAACCACAGCGCCCTGCTACGGGTGGCCAACTACTGCGAGGATAACTACTTGCAGGTAAGTGGAGAGGGCTCAGGTCAGGATACACCTCGCGGGGACCTGCAGCCCAGTCCCTCTGGTAGGGTCATCTGACAGGTATCTGTTCCCGCCTTGGCTGAGCAATCTTCAGGCTTCAGCGTCATTCCAAGTTTCCCAAAGGCCACAGCGCTTGTTCTCAGGCCGTAGCCTCAGAGGTAGAGGATATGTGTACATCACTGTCTCTGTAATCTGTTCTCCCATCTTGCCTCAAGCTCATCCTCTAACAGGTGCTGCTACTGTCTTCAAGCTGGCTCTAGGGGAATCAGAAAACTTCCCACATACGGGAAAGGGGTTTGTTCCTTAATGTTTGAGAGAAAACAGAGAAGAGTCAGAGCAGATCCTGAGGAGAGAATGGGGTGTGCTGCAGAGGCAGGGGACTCAGCCTGGCTTCTGAGAAATGACAGAGAGGCACCATAGAGCAGTCTCAGACCTTTATATTATGTGTGGTTTTTGAGACAGGCCTAGGCTGTATGGCCTAGGCTGGCCTTGAGTTCACTGTAGCTCAGGCTGCCCTTGAGTTCACTATAGCCCAGGCTGCCCTTGAGTTTCCTGTAGCCCAGGCTGGCCTCAAATTTACAATCCTCTTGTCTCAGCCTTCCCTCAGTGCTGGGATTACAGGCTCCCACCACCTCACCTGGCCATTGTTTGTGTCAAGTCATTTTGTTTCAGTTTCTTAAGGCATTGGGAGAGGAGCCCAGGGCTGTCTGGGAAGAAGCCCCACTCCATCCTGGAGTAGTCTTGGTCACATAATGTTGATTGCTGAGGAAGGAAGAGGGGCAGAGAGGACTTTGTGTCTGCCCTTCTGTTCCTTTTTCAATCCTCATAGCCACCATGTGAGATGAAGACCATAATTCCTGTTTTAGGAATGTGAAAACAGCGGCTTGTGTGCACTAGTGCGCAGATTGTGTATGTGTGTGTGCATGTGCGTGTGTGTGTGTGTGCCAGGAGAGGTGACTTGTCCGGAGTTACCCAGCTCTGGATAGCAGAGCCAAACATGGCTGCCCTGCCTTCTCACCTGAGCCCCTTGCTCTTCATCCTTCTATCTCTCTGATATAGTGTATGGTTTGGGTTTTTTTTTTTAAGATTTATTTATTTATTTTATTTATGAGTACACTGTCACTGTCTTCGGATATACCAGAATAGGGCATCCAATCTCATTACGGATGGTTGTGAGCCACCATGTGGTTGCTGGGATTTGAACTCAGGACCTCTGGAAGAGCAGTCAGTGCTCTTAACCGCTGAGCCATCTCTCCAGCCCTGGTTTGGGTTTTTGTTTGTTTGTTTGCTTTTGGTTTTTCGAGACAAAGTTTCTCTGTGTGCCCCTGGCTGTCTTGGAACTCACTCTGTAGACCAGGCTGGCCTTGAACTCAGAAATCCCCCTGCCTCTGCCTCCCAAGTGCTGGGATTAAAGGCATGCACCACCACTCCCCGGCGTGGCTTGGGTTTATCTACACTCCTTGTCCTTTCCTCTGCTCCACTAAGAGTGACAGGCCTAGTCTGCAACCTCTTGTTCTCAGGCCATAGCCTCAGAGTCTAGCCAGACTGTGAGACAACACCGGGGGGGACCTACTCCTGTAGAGAGAGGGCTAGGGAGACAAAAGAACTGAAGGCCTATGGGAAATGGCAGAGCCAAGAGGCAATGATAGCCAAGTTCCCTCTGCACCTTCCCCCAGCCTCTCCGTGTCCCTTCCCAGTCCTGCCAGGTAAGCACTATGCACACTTCACAGTGAGAAAGCTGAGGTTTGGAAAGGGTTAGGCTGTATTTTCACAGGCCTCCAAGGTAGTCACTGAGACAGGATTTGGACTCCGATCAGTAGCTAGTTGTGGTGGCCCATACCTGTGAAACCAGTACTTGGGAGGCTATGGCAGGGTGCTCTTAGAAAGTTCTACCTGTCTTCTAGTCTACACAGTGAGTCCAAGTCAGTCAGGATTACATAGCAAGACACTACTTCTAACAGACCAAAACCAGCAAAGCAAAATCCCAAATAAGAGAGCAGCCAGGATTCTGACTCCTAAGCTCAGTTCTTAACCCTTTAGGCCACACTGCTACCTCGAGTGTCATTTCATGTGTGTGTGTGACACTGAGTGACCAGCCTGTAGATAGATAATCTGGCATGTGGCTTATATACATGAGTCCTGCTCGCCTAGCACTTAGGTATGCAGGCATGGAGATAGCCTTTCCATTCCATCAGTGTCTTCCCATACCTCAAAGTGGCAGCTAGTGGGTGTAATCCCATGTGTGCAATTGGTGCGCATGCAGGATCTGATGCCACAAAGCTGAGTCACAGGGTCTGCCACCTATCAACTTAGGAACATGTGTGTTTCCCATTGAAGCGGTCTCTCTCTCTCTCTCTCTCTCTCTCTCTCTCTCTCTCTTCCTTCTTTCCTTCCAATATTGTCATTCTGTAGCTCAGGCTACCCTTGAATTTATGACCTGTCTGCTTCAGCACCCTCATCCCCCCAGAAGACTGAAATTACAGGCCTGTGCCACCATTTAGGGGTGAGATGAGGTTCCTTTTAAACTCTATACCTTCTCCAAACTGGTTATAAGTATTAACTGGAACAGCGTGTTGAACCTTTTGCCCAGGGCCCATCATCCTATAAGGGCAGGACAAATGTAGCTCCTGTTGTTTCTATTTCCATTTCAGAAGGATAAAAGGCACACACTAGTGATGAAGTTCCATTCTATCCAGGTGACAGCCTTTGCAAGCACACTCAGGGTATCAGAAGCCCCAAGACCCAGGTTAGAATCCCTGGATTCCTTTGTGTCGAGCAATGGCCCATAGACAATACAATTAGTAACCCTCCCTGCCTGTCCACAGAGGGAAATTTTGGGGTGATGTCTTTAATAAGGTCTCTGTCCTTCTCAGTCTCATCTTTCCCCAGCTAAGTGTCAGAAGCCCGCAGGAGGCAGATGGGTCAGCAATAGGGTTCTCAGTCAGGGTTGACTGAGTGTAAAAACAGGGTCATTTGCATGACAGCCTAGGTGAAGGATCCCAGACCCTTGTTCCTCCAGACCTGACTTTAGGCCAAGATTAAAGCCTAAACCAAGATTGAAACCTAGAGGTTAGAAACATCTGGGCTAGAAGAACACAGAGCTGGGCCCAACAGATATTATTCTTGTTTGGATTGCAAAGTCCATGTGCCGGACTGGGTGGCAGGCAGAGGGGGCCTGTCTTCTTACCCACAAAACAAAGACCTAGGGCAAAGCCTGCAGTCCTCTGTAGCATCTCTGCCTAGCCAATGCATATGCCAATGAGATGTAAAATTTATTGCATATGCAGATGACATGTAAATTGGCACACAAATGAACGTCGCTTTCCTGCTGTCAGAACAGAAAAGTAGGAAAGGGAAAGACCATGGTGGGGGAGGTTCCAGAAGGTTCTAGTTCAGATTGCATGAGCGGACTCCAGAGGAATCTCATGGAGGACTCAACTCTGATAGCACCAGTGATGGGTCTATGGAGTACACAAAGTTCCAAGCCAGGGGGCCCCAGGTGCTCAGCATTGCCTGTCAGTACACTGCCCCTTCTAATCTGCCTTGGATTCACCTCTGCCTCCCTCCACCACCGAAAAGGACAGGCTTCAGTGCAGCAAGCTCATGATCGATGGGGAAGGAGGAAGCTGCTTGTAAAGCAAGAGACCCAAGAAGGTTTACCCAGCCCTGAAGGTCTGGTCTGGGACAAACAAACAAAAAAAGTCCTCTTTTGTCTTTAGCTACTCTCTGGCCATCCCTCTCCCACTGACTGGCAGTGTGGCACTGGCCAGTGTCTGGCATGCAGCAGGAAGCTGCCCAGCTAGGGTTGGGTTCCCCTTTGACCTGTCAATCAGCCAACAAATGCACATTTATTTAGTATTTTCTGTGTGTTGGGAACTATGTCAGCATAGGATGCAGAACAGAGGGGACCAGCTCTCTGTTTTCATGGCATTTATATTTGGATGGGGGAGGGGTGAAAAGAAATAAAAAAAGAACAGGGCAAGTATGATATGTCATAAAGGTGAGCTGGGTAAAAGCTCAGGGCACTGAGAGAAAGGGAGAAGCTGGGACCATCTAGTGAAAAGAGCTCCGAGTAGTGTAAGCGCCAAGGCCCTGAGGTAGGAACAATCTCTCTTGCTAAGGATTAGCGCGCCAGGAGCTAGTGTGGCCGGAGAGGAGCAAGGCATGTGTAAGGCAGAGGATGATATCTTAAAGCCATCCATGAACATGTGGGTGGGGATATTGCACACCTTTGATCCCAGTACTCAGGAGGCAGAGGCAGGTGGATCTCTGAGTTCGAGGCCAGTCTGGTCTACAGAGTGAGTTTCAGGACAGCCAGGGCTACCATGTCTCAAAAACCACAGTGATGATGATGATGATGATAATGATGATGATGATGATGATAATAATGTCAACTGTGCTGGCACACTCCTGTAATCCTAGCACTTAGGAGACGGAGGCAGGAAGACCAGGAGTTCAAGGCCAGCCAGCCTTAGTTACACAGAGAATTTGAGTTTATACTACATAAAACCCTGTTTCAAAAAAACAAAGAAAGCATGTTAGAAAGCTGTCAGAGGGAATGAGAGGATGAAGTCATTTGGTTCTGTGACTCGGTGCCCTTCTCTCAGTTCCCACACACCTTCCTGAGGGTTGGGGCTGAGGAAGTACAAGGTCAGCAGGGGGCTGTCACTCCCGGCCTCACTTCAGTTTGGGGGTTTGCAGGTAAGAGCCTGCTATTGCCTGGTTGGTTTTTAAGTGGCTGAATGTCTCCTCTAGCCAGCATCCTCTTCCCCTTCCCCTCAACAGCCAGCCTGCAAACACTGGCTGAGGACGGCAATAGGTTCCTCTCAACTCTGTCTTCACCTCACTGAAGGACAGGATTCTTGTCCTGACCTCCAGAGCCAGTTCTCTCAGGCTTCGACTTGCTTTCCCAGTGTTCTTTGCACTGTCCTCCCAAGTCCCTCTCACTACAACACCATCCTTCCGGAAGCTACCTCAGGCACCTAAGGACCGCAGCTTTCTCCCAGTTCAGCTCGGGCCTTCCTTAGATTCTCTTCTGGCTCCATCCGACTCTGCCAAGAAAGCAGTGGAATGTGCTGGCCTCGGGCCAAGGCTGTGTGTATTTCAGGCCACAGACAAGCGGAAAGCGCTGGAAGAGACGATGGCTTTCACCACCCAGGCCCTGGCCAGTGTGGCCTACCAAGTGGGTAACCTGGCCGGGCATACTCTTCGAATGCTGGACCTGCAGGGTGCTGCCCTGCGGCAGGTGGAAGCCAAGATGAGCACACTGGGCCAGGTAAGAACGTGGGAAGGCCTCCCCTTTCCATCCCCTCTCTTCAGTCCCGCTCAAGTAGCCTCTGTGACAAAGGACCCTTCATTTTCTCCATGTCCACCTGGTCAACTCAACTGCAGTAGGGTGGCACGTTCTGAACTGTGGAGACTTCTAGCATGGCTATGTTTTAGTGGGGTTCTTGCTACCCCATTAGACACAAAGTTCTCCAAAAGTAGACCTCTCTCTCCCTTCTGTCTCTCTCTCTGAATGTTATGCTAGATGTCTAAAAGCTTTGTTTGCTCTTCATAGTACCTGCAGAGAGCAGGAGAGACGAAAGGCCATCCTGTCTTCTTTGGAATACATTCAATGATTAATAAATGCCCTCCACTCAGGCTAGGCAAGCCCATCTTCAACCCCACAGGAGTCCCTGCCAACCCCGTACCGAGTACCTACCTACATTCAGCCTTCCTTCCTGGATCCTTGACCCCACAAAGCCTATGAGAGTTACACTTTTGGTCTGATCATATGTCCCCAAGGGGCCAGTGTATGGGGTGTGTTTTCCTCTTCTTCCTGAAGACTCAAGGTCCCACTCCTCAAGGCCCGAGGGCACATTCCAAGAGAAAGTTAATTCACATACTAGTCCCCTATAGGGGAGAGCTGACTTAGTTATACTTCTCTGCCACCTCCACAGTATGCCCTTCTGCACCCAAGCCTGCCCTGTCCTTCAGTTCCTTCCCAGCAACCCCAGGGGTGTTTTTCTCCCTTCTCTTCTGGTTCCTGCACACCTAATAATAGCCCTCATTCTCTTCTACCAGGAAGTCACTCCAAAGTGGCTCCATCCTCTCCTGCTCCTCTTTCTCCAATTGCTATACAGCCGTGGGACTCTCTCTGGGTTTCCCTGCCTCCCGTTCTTTCCTCTTCCCTTCCCTTGTTTTATTATTTTTTTTAAAGATTTATTTTATATGACTACTCTGTAGCTGTCTTCAGACACACCAGAATAGGGCATCAGATCCCATTACAGATGGTTGTGAGCCACTGCGTGGTTGCTGGGAATTGAACTCAGGACCTGGAAGAGCAGTCAGTGCTCTTCACCACTGAGCCATCTCTCCAGCCCTCCTCCCCCATTTTGAGACAGGGTCTCACTATGTAGTCCTGGCTAGCCTAGAACTCATCATATAGACCAGGTTAGCTTCAAACTCATAGAGATCTACCTGCCTCTGCCTCTGGAGTGTTAGCGTTCTCCCTCTCTTAAAAGGAATGGAGTTGTACAGCCTGTTTCTCAAGGGCTCCTCCCACCTTCCACCTTGTCGTGCAGATGGTGAACATGCATATGGAGAAGGTAGCCAGAAGGGAGATTGGCACTTTAGCCACTGTCATGCGGCTGCCCCCTGGCCAGAAGGTCATCCCTCCTGAGAGCCTGCCTCCCCTCGCTCCCTACTACAGAAAACCCCTCAACTTTGCCTGCTTGGATGACATTGGCCATGGGATCAAGGTAAGGGAAACCCTGCTCTTCCCCGCTGTCGCTCTGTCCTGCCATGTCACTCCCTCCTGTCTCTCTTTCCAAGCTTTATACTACCTCACAACCCCTTCCTCTCACACCCCGGGACACATGGCCTAAAAACTCCACACTCTCCCAAGATCCTTAACCACTCTCTACCCTGCTCTCAGACACTGCTTCTGGAAGATTGTGATCTGCCTCTGCCCCCACCCCCAGTGGGTTGTGTGTGTGTGTGTGTGTGTGTGTGTGTGTGTGTGTGAAGGGGAAGAGGGGGGAGGGTGTTGTCAGGGCATGCATGAGAACCATTCCTCAGCCACATGAGAACAGCAACTTCCTCTGTCTGGGGGTTTGAGGTCATTGCTCTAAGAAGTCACTCCAGAATGCTGGTGGTAGGGACAGGAGGCGGCAACAGAAAGCAGAGTTGCTGGGGGGGACCTTATCACCTTTTGACCCTACTGCTCCATGTCAGATTAGATTAGAAGCTTTCCTGGGTCTTAACCCCTTGTTATTATGCCAGATCCTCAGAAGAGAAAATAACTGCTTCCTTCAGTTCCCAGGGCCCTATATGTCCCTTTTTCCCGTCCAGCCTTCTTATCTTTGTTTTTCTTTTGATGGTGCTGAGGATGGAACCCAGGCCTTCTATAAACTCAGCAGAAGCTCCACCCCTGAGCTATTTGCCCAGCCGCCAACTTATCCTTTATTCCCATGTCTTGTCTCTAATGGGGCAGGGTGACTGAGACCATGAGCCCCAGGTGCTCATGCTGGGGGAAGTCCCAGTTTCCGAGGTGTCTCTTGCCTTGGGAGTTGCACCCTATCACTGAGACTCTCCTAAGTGTCTTGGGTTCTGCCATCCCTCTGCCTTGAATTTGGGGAGGTCACTTCCGTTGTAAGTTTATGGAGAAGGATGAGTTCCGTGTGATGTGTGTTCTGTCTCCACGGGCTCCTCAGCTCATGCCAGAGTACAAAGCCTAATCAGAACGAAGGCCCACCAAGCCACCCAGGTCCCTGGGGATTTGAGATAGTGTGGGGGTGCAAAGGCCAACTCAGTCACTGTGGCTATGCAGAGGAAGTGGCTCTCAGACGCGCAGTCTGTGCTGCGGGTTTCTTTCTGTGGGTTGGCTTTGGGGGACCTGCTGCAGGCTTAAGGGCTGGGGCGGGGGAAGGAGGGCTGAGAAGTGGAAGTAGGAACTTGCTGAGTCTGGCTGGCCCTCCCAGTTCTCGCTCTCCCCTCCCCCATTTCCTCTCCGAGATGAGGGTAAGAATGGCTCCCCTTGTCCCAGATGTCAACCCTATGCTTCCTTCAGGATTCGAGCACTCAGCTGTCACGGACCGGGACCCTGTCTCGCAAGAGCATAAAGGCGACTGCTACACCTGCTTCCGCCACGCTGGGGTGAGGCCTCAGGCCATGCGAACCAGCCCTGTCCAGCCACTCTGCAGCGGTTCTCAGCTGCTTCCCCCACCCCTCGTCCGCAGCACCTGGCGCCTTGCTGCTGCTGCTCCTGGCACCCAGCTTCTCCCTCCGCGAGTCGCCCTTCCTCAACCCTAAGCCGAGTCGTCCTTCCTCAACCCTAAGCCTTGCTCAACAGAGACCCCTCCCTCCTCATGCCACCCTACTCCACCACTCCCCAGGAGACCACCCCGGATCCCTGAGCCGGTGCAGCTCCCGGCTGTGCCAGACGGCAAGCTCTCCGCTGCCTCCTCTGCCTCTTCCTTGGCCTCAGCAGGGTGAGCGCTTGAGTCCAGTGGGTGGGTAGCCAGCAGGTAGATTTTGAGAGGCCTCCAGGCAGACTTGTGGTTGAGAAAACAAAAAACCACTGGTTGGGGAAAATAATTGTAGGGCAGATGTTGCTAAGAGGGGTGGGGACCCTCAGGGACGCTGGGCTAGAAGGCGTCCCTCATCAGCATATGGTCTGGTCTTTTAGCAGTGCGGAAGGTGCCAGTGGGATCCCCCAGTCCAAGGGACAGGTAGCACCTGCAACCCCGCCTCCTCCACCTGTAGCGTCTGTAACCCCACCTCCTCCACCATTGTCTGCTGAGGTCTTCTTGCCGCCCCCTCCGCTGGAGGTGTCCCAGCCCCCTCCGGGTAAGATGTGTCCCACCTTCTCAATATTCACCTTGAAGTCGCTCGTCCAGGCCTGTGTTTCCCAGGAACCCCCAGGGAAGCAGTGAATAGGTTACAGTAGCCCTGTGTTCAAAGCTTCTCTCTTAACAGGACTTGTATAGCTTAAGCCACCTGCCTAGGGGTTGTCCGGTAGGATCTGTCTACCCTGTCTACCCTTGTTAAGCACCAGCAGCGGGCTAGAGGCATTGTATGACAGGAACTGGTTAGATCTTAAGGATTCTAGAGGGGTGGCCCATGTACCTTTTTGTCTTCCTTCCCAGAAGCAGAGTTGCCCCTGCCTCCTCCTCCAGCTGTAGAGGGGGACGAACTGGGGCTGCTGCCTCCGCCCCCACCAGGTTTTGGACCAGATGAGCCCAGCTGGGTCCCTGATGCCTACTTGGAAAAAGGTACCTTTGTACTCTTGGGACTGAAAGACACATCCACTGCCAGGTTTCTGTTGCTTTGGCCTTCATCTCTCCATCCCAGGAGCGTTTGCTCTCCCTGCCAAGGTGCGAGCCTATTCTGTTCTCCATCCCCTTCCTTTCTGATTAGCTGAGTTCTGAAGCCGATAGGAAAGAGCAGCTGGCCTGGTATTGAATAGTACCTGGCTGTTCCAAAGCTCCCCCATGGCCTAGTATTATAGCTCCTGTATTTGTGTGTGTGTGTATCTGAGGGGACAACTCACAAGGTTCTCTTCCTGCCCCACAGTGGTGACACTGTACCCATACACCCGTCAGAAGGACAATGAGCTCTCCTTCTCTGAAGGCACCGTCATCTGTGTCACTCGCCGCTACTCGGATGGCTGGTGTGAGGGTGTTAGCTCAGAGGGCACTGGATTCTTCCCAGGGAACTATGTGGAGCCCAGCTGCTGACAGCCCAGATCTGTCCCTGCACCAACCCTGCACTGCCTCGGTGGACCTCTTGAGCCCCAAGAAGCCAGCTTCCACAGTCAAAGCTGGACTAAGGACCTGTCTACCTCTCGGGCTGTGAACTGTGTTCAGTCCCTGCTCCACACAGCAGTGGGAAAGGGGGTGGGCTAGAGAGGGGCGGTACTCAGGAAGATTGCTGCAGATGGCAAGAAGAAAAAACAAAAAACAAATCTAGAAGGCAAGGAGTTTAAGCACCTTGCCCAGAGGACCCCCCAGGTCATGCACAGAAGATTGCCAGCTTTGAATAAAACTCTGTTGACCTCCTGGTAGTTGCCCCAAAGGGCTAGAGGGCCAGACAGGGAGTGATGGAGAGAAAACGTCGAACCCTGCAGACTACCCCAGAAGGACTCTCCATCTCAGACCTCTTTACTGTTTCACTAGGGCCCTAGTGTCACAATGAGACTCCCTGAGTGCAGAGAGCACCTCTCTTCTTATCCCTCCCACTGTGGCACAAGAGTCCTTTTGTCCCCCTTCACCTCCTTTATTGGTCTGAAACTCCAGAGAGGGGAGGGGCTTGGGTTTCCCTGGCTCTGCTTAAAAACATGGCTTTCTGTTCCATAAGGGCGAAGGGGGATGCGGGAGGGGGTGGGGACGACTTTGGTGAAGTCCCTGGTCTCTTGCTGGAGTTCGAGGATTTGTTACACTCTCCCGAGGCGATTGGTCGGTTCTACCTCGATCCACCAGCAGGAGGCGGTTGTTCCTTCTGGCTTTTTCTTCCTTTGGGGGTGTCTGGCGGGGGGTGGGGGTGGGTGGGTGGGGGGTGGGAAGGAAGCAAGGCGCAGCCAGCGCAGCAGTAGTATAGGGTTGCCTTGGCTGAAGCAAGAGCAAGACCTAGAGCTGTCTGAGAGCATCGTAGGTCTGCCGCGAGCAATCTGGTGCTGGCATGCGAATTGGGGGATCCTGAATCCGGGCAGGGGAGGTTACGCAGCCGGTACAACAGCTAAAGTAAGTGAGAGAGGCTCCTCCCAACTTCCACGAGCCTGTTCTTCTCAGTTCGAGGGGCACTGCCTGCCTTCCAAGGGGTGCTCACCTCCCTGGAGGGAAGGCAGCCGAGCTGTGTTAACTGCATAGATAGGTACGGCTCTGAACCCCTGCTCCCAGCCCACAAGCGGACCGAATTCCAGATATGCCCGGAGGAGCGTAGCAAAGCGAAAGGAAAGAGGAGGGTAACAAAACTAGGTAGGTGGTCCTAACCAATTCCCAGTCCCGCCCCTCCTCCGCCCGTTGTCCGGGGCACCCCTTGCAGGCGATGGTCTTCAACACATCTTCAGCACCTGTTGCAGATGTTGGCGCACGTCGGCGGCTGTTTCCCAGGGCACCACGTGGGCGCGGAAAGAGCTGGGCTCAGCCTTCTGTGCCTCCTGGATGAGGCGGTGCATGGGGTAGCCGCGGCGCGGGAAGGCCACGTCCCCGCCCGCCAGCAGCCCCATGGGGCAGAAGTCATTTGCACCATCCCCCACGTAGAAGAGGCGCTCGAAGTGCACGCCGTCGCGGGCCCGCTCACGCAGGTATTCGCTGAGCACCTTGTGCTTGCACATGTTGGCGGGGCAGCGCGAGCAGCTGTGCGTGTGGAAGGGCCGCAGCGTCAGCAGTCCCCGCGCGTCGGGCCCCGACGGGTTGCTGAGGATGCGGCGGAATAAACTGTGGTGGCCAGCGGCACGCAGGGCACTCTCCACACCGAAGGTGTTGGCATCCGAAATGAGAATAACCTCGAAGCAGGAGCCCTGTTTGGCTATGAACTGCAACAAATCGCCCATGCCCGGCGACAGGGGGATGGTCTCGTAGACAGCGCGCAGGTCCCGGGGCCGTACACCCTGCTCACCCAGGTACTTGAAGACGCGTTGCATGTACTCATTGTAATAGCCCTCGCGATAGGTGGCACGCAGGCTCTCTGGCAGTTGCTGGCCTGGCGCAGCACGCACGATCGAGTCGTCGCTGTTCTCGTCCACGATGGTCTCATCGAAGTCGAAGGTCAGGAGGAAGCGAGGCGCGCCCGGCGCGGCCATCCTGCCGTCCTGGGAGCAGGGGGAAGAGGAGCAGGAGGAGGGGGCAAGCGAAAGGCGGCGCGGCGGGAGCCGGCCAGGGAGAGGCTGATTAGCGGGCCACAGCCAGGGTCGCTGGCACATCCAAGACCTGAGGAGGACCCAAGGCTGGTTAAACTGGAGATGGAACCAATGTGTTGCCCACACCCCGCCGTCCCTTTCCTGTCTCTCAATTAATCTCTCAGTTATTGCTGGGTCGACGCAAGGGGGCCATACTAGTCTTGAAGCCAAAGGCTTCCTTGGCTTCCTTTCTGCTGCTCTCATGGGATTCCTTAGAAGGGACGACTTGTCAAGGGTCACTCCTTGAGACTCCTCAACGGGGTTGGAGGCTTCTGGTGGTGAGGTAAATAGGAGGCAAATTCACACCCCTGCTCTAACCCAGCAGAGAGGACAGAAGATTCGTGTACCCAGGGGGACCAGCCTCCTTTTCTCTGTGATCTTTGTGGGATCAAGAATTAATGGAGGAGCCAGGCTCCAGGAAAAGCCATTGGCATCACCAAGGCAAGGCGGGCAATGAGTGTCAGGTCTTTCCTGGGCCTGGGTGTCAACAAGTATCATGTCTGGAAAGCTAAGTTCCTGAGCCTCCGTGGGCCTGGCCAGAGAACTAGGTTTTAGCCCTTGAAATTACCAGGTAGGTATGCAGACCACACAAGACCCAGGGAGGCTCTTCAGGAGCTGCTGGGCCCTGTGCTTTCTGCCCATGCTAATCACTTGCCAATTCCCTGGGAAGCAGGTGCCAGCAGGTGGGGTTTCTGCCAGAGTCCGAAGCAAGCAGGCAACAGGAGAAGCAATGGGGCTTAAGGAGGTGGGAGCCCCCCTCACCAGGCCACGGCATACCTGGGAGACAGGTAGGAGAGGGGAAAGAGAGCGGCAGTGGCTAAAAAGGCAGAGGGAGGCAGGGGTGGGCAGCTATGTGAGGGGGTGTCAGGGAGGGGATGTCGGGGATAAATCAGGCAGGGAGGGTAGAGTAGGCTACTGGAATATAGTGGGAGTTCTAGGTAGTGAGGCTTTGGGTCAGAGTCCTCGTCTGGGAAGTTCTCAACGGGGGAACAGCGTGGGAAATGGGGATATAGTGGGAGTACTTGGGGCACAAAGAAAAGCAAGCACACGGACACAGCAGGGTCCCCCCATCTGCATGTTCCTGCCACCTTTGTTTGCCAGCAGCTATAGGAAGAGGGACAGAGGGACAGAGGCTATAAATCCTAGAATATCCATCACATGGCTTGGCTTTCTGCCTCCCGGCATGCGCTTCCTACCCAATGCGGTAAATATCCAAACAGAACCTGGTTTCCCGCCACACACCCATACCCACACCCACACCCACTTCTTTCTTTTTAAAGAATGGGTCTCCTATAGCTCAGGCTGTTGTAGATCGGGATGAACTTGAACCCCTGAGCCTCCTGGCTCACCTTCCCAGGGCTGGCATTAACAGAATTCTACCAACCGAGCGACATCCCCAGGCCTCACACACTCTTATTACTTCTTATTACTCATTTCACAGTTGGTACTGGAACCTGGCTATCTGTCTCCCTCAGACACAGAAAGCCACTTTATCCCTCCAGGAGTCACCAAGGGGGGTTAGCACCAGCCTGTGGAATCTCTGACACGGGATCCCTGTTATCGGAGACACCAGGATCCACAGCAGAGAAATTCAGGGATTCATAGAGGTCCAGTAGAAAGGGTAATCTGAGGGGGCTGGAGAGGGCTCCTCCTATCCCAGGGTGGAAAGCAGGGGCTTGAGGCCTCATCCTGAAGGGCTCCACTTACCCTAGATAGGCATCGTAGTCCAACAACCGGAAAACACCCGCTCATTGTCAGTATATTATCTTGACCACCACCTTTAGAAACTTTGTTGGTCTCCAGCTGTCATCCAGAGCTCCTGGGAGGGGAAAAGAACCCACAAAAAGTTCATAGCTGTTTATTTGGAGTAAGGTGACACGAGCCTTTAGTCCCAGCACTTGGGATGCAGAGGCAGGTGGATATCTGTGAGTCTGAGGCCAACATGGTCTACATAGTGCGTTCTAGAACAGTCAGGATATGTAGAGAGACCCTGTTTCCAAAACAAAGTGCCTGTCCACTGGCTCCCCTTTCAATACTGATCCCATCGGACTGTCTGTCTCGTCCTGATCTCATGCATGGTTCATCACACCCACGAAGACAGAAATTAACTCCCTTCCTACATGGTGTATTGTTTAAGCAGAGTGGCAACTGGTTCATAAACACTTCACTACTATCTAGAGGCTGAGAGTTTTGGGCCCTACAGGAGACTTACCTCTGGCACTAATTTGTTCAGAGATCTCACCAACAGGGCAGGCTGAAATCGCTACGGGAGTTTCAGTGACCGGGTGGTGATCTTCTGGTTTGGGCCTTCATTAGTGCATCTACACAGATACCATCTACAACTTTTGTTGTCTCTCTACTTCCCCACTCCTCCACCCAGGCTATGAGACCAGAAGCCAGCCCCTTAGAATTGGAAAGATACCAGAGCAAAGATAGCAAAAATCTAGCTGGCTGCTGCCCTCTAGTGGTAGCAATGGGTGGCGCGGTAAATTCTTGACTCTCAAGGTGACACTCCCTGACCATCCCAAGGCAGTAGATGCCACAGCCTCTAGAGTAGAGTAGATCAAGAGGACACAGGCTCTGGAACCCTCTTCATAGAGATGTATCCCTGACCACCCTCGCTTTCTCACGACAGAGCTTTTCAGTAGAGATAGGAAGTAGCTTTAGTGTCCCCCACCCCCAAAGAACTTATAGCTAGTAATTCGAAAGAGGTTAAAGCTCACTAGCAAAAATTAGCAGTGCTCCAGGAGAGCCAACATTGTCGAGATAGTGAGAGGGGAGGGGACAGGGATGGTAGACAAGGGAGCCGCATGCAAGGGATATTGGGGAAACTGTCACTGATGGAATCCCGGCTGAAATAACCTTTGTCCCAAGACAAGAGTTAGAGGTGAAAGGTCAGAGGGTTCCACACCCATTGTAAAAGCAATCTCAAAGAGCGGGATTAAGTGTCAGGCAGAGAGGGAAGCAAGGGACAGATACAAAGATACAAATGGGTCACTAGCAACCACACAGACCAATTTTCTCTTCTCTTCCCGCTCCACTCCCTTCATTCCACAGTCAGGACCGACCCCAGGGTTTACAGGTATTATACAGCATGCCCTTAACCCAATAGTTTTGTTTTTAATTTTGAGACAGGGTTGCCCAACCTGGACAGCCTCCTGAGTCCAGAGATTTCAAGCATGTAATAAATACTCTCGATAAGATCAATTTTCATCTCTTGGGGGGGGGTCAACTACTTGCCTGTCTTCTTTGAAAGAATTATACCAGTCCTAATGCTGGCAGCTTCTCATGGCTCATAGAAGTAGACACAACTATGTTCTCACCTAATACTAGTGTTTATGGAAATCTTTGTTGTGAGACTAGGTCTCACTACCTAACCTTGGCTGGCTTGCAACTCTCTGTAGACCAGGCTGGCTTTGAACTTAGATCCTTCTGCCTTTGGCTCCTAAATGCTGGGATTAAAGTCCACCACTCTGGTAATCTTGTCTTTTTTCTCTGCAGAGCAGAAAGCCAGGCATCCTGGGTTTCTTCCCAGAAACTGAGGCAGCCTCACAGACACCTTGTCCCTGTCCTATCCATCCCTAGTTATCTTCTGGCTTCATAGCATTCGAAAAGGTCAGTGGCATCTGCCTGGCCTGGTGATGCAGGAGAGGGGGGCAGGAGAATCTTGAGTTTGAGGCCAGCCTGACTACATGAAATTCCTGTTTTAAAACAACCGCCATAAAAAACAAAACTCACCGGGCAGTAGTGGTGCACGCCTTTAATCCCAGCACTTGGGAGGCAGAGGCAGGTGGATTTCTGAGTTTGAGGCCAGCCTGGTCTACAGAGTGAGTTCCAGGACAGCCAGGACTACACAGAGAAACCTTGTCTCCAAAAACCAAAAACCAAAAACAAAACAAAAACAAAAACTCATTTCTGACACACTTGTGATAAAGTCCTGGGCAGTGCAGGGCATTGCCTTTAATCCCAGGAGGGGCAGAGGCAGAGGCAGAGGCAGAAGCAAGTGGAACTGAGTTCGAGGTCAGCTTGGTCTACAGAGTTTCAGGACAGCCAGGACTGCACAGAGAAACCCTGTCAAAGCCACAAAAATTTCTGTGTGACCACCAGAGTCCCTTGAGGGGAATGAGACAGGACATTTGAGTTTCTCCAACATGCTAGATCAGCCAGGGGGCAAATTTTGGGGACCGAGGGAAGTCCTTTTCTAGTCTCACCTAAGATCAATGTTTGTGGCCCTGATTCCATCACAGCCCCTGCCTGCTCCTCTGATACAAATACTTTTAGGTTAGATCTGTGGGACGGTGGGGTAGGAGTTTGTGTGTGTGTGTGTGCACTAACTTCAGCTCTAAGCTTGAAATTCTCCTAATGAGGGAGAGGGTAGAGCCCATAGGAAAGTTTGGGGAGTTTTCTACAAGAAACATACAGGCTGAGAACGGGGGTGAGGACGTTAGAAATGTCAAGCCCTCTCTGCTCCAAGTATGCCCATCACTAGAAATTAGATCTGACAATTAAGCTTATTCCTGCCCCTAACACTCGAAACTTCACGAACTCCTTTCTTGTTCATTAACCCGTAATGGGGGAGGGGGGACAGAGAGGTCCAGCTTACATCATGGGCATCACACCGCATCAGAAATAGGATTAAAACTCAGGGGTCTCTACTGCCTCTTGGAGAAACTAGTTGAATTCCCCGGTTGTTCCGGGGGTTCTGTAATGTTCCCTGTCCTAGCTAGCTAGGGAGTAATGGTCTGTGCCCTGGTGCCACTGAGGAATCTGGGACTAGGCGTCACCTCTGGGGTTCCCTGCCTGGAGTGGACAAGCAGAGGTGATTCTTTCTGGGTAGGGGCAGGGAGATGGCAGCTGCCGGTGGGGTAGCAGGAGAGATATTTTTAGAGGTGACTGGAAAGCAGGCACTCTGGCACACCCCCAGCTGGCGGGCGCTTCGCTCTAATGCGGGCGGGGGGTGCGCAGCTCGGGGAGAAGGAAGGACTTGTGGGTGGCGGGGAGCTATGACAGTCCCCGGAGATGAAGGGACACTGGGCACCATGAACCTGGGAAAGAAGGGGGTTCCATCCTCTGTCCCAGGGATTACCCCACCACCAAGCGCAAGAAACACCCTCAAACTCCACACAGCCCCCACCCCAACATTTAGATCGCGGTCCTCCCGGAGCCCAGGACTCATGCGGGGCAGCAGCGGTCGCGCTGTCTGTCCCAGCTGAGTTTGGAGTGGAAGTAGTGGGAAGGGGGTTAGTTAAGGGATTTGGGGACAGGATGGAGCAAGGGGTGCTTACGGGAATTGGGGGGGGACGCGGTCTTATCCACCCCCGGATTTCTGAGCTCCGGCTCACGAGTCCCTCCAGCCCCGAGGGACTGTGGATGATGTGCTTCTGCTCCGTCCCTTCCACCTGCCCCCCATCCCCGGGGCCGCCGCCGCGTCCCCTTTAAATGCCGGGGAGCCAGAGCCCGAGCCGCGGCGGGCGCTGCGGCAGCCGCAGCACCCGGGCCCACCGCAGTCCCCGTACGTCACAAGCGCCCAGCCAATCACCGCGGCGCCGGCGCACATCAAAGGGGCGGGCTGCCCGCGAGCCACGCCCCCGGGCTGTCCCGGAGGCCGGGCGAGCGGCAGTGAGACTGGGCGGGCGGGACGGGTGGAGCGTGGCGCGTCCCGTCCGAGGAGCGTGGGTGCGGGGCACCCTCTGCGTGCGCGTGGGCACGTGCGTGAGTCAGTGTCACACTGCCCGCCTCCCGCTGGGCTCTGCGCGAGGAATCTGCAGGCAGTCCCTCCACCGCCCGGCAGTCCTTGTCGTGGAGCTCCACGGGACAGCCGGGTGACAGGCTCGCCAAGCAGCACGCCCTCCACGTGCGGCGAGCTCGGTGCCCTCTGCCCTTCCGGGAAGAGCCACGGCATCCTGCCGAGTCCTCGGAACCCTGTCCCCAGATTACCGGGTACTCGGGCTTGCCGGTGAAGAACTCTCTCAATCCAGCACCGCCTAAACTCGGAGTTGGAGAACCAACACTGAGCACAGTGGTGCAAATAAAAAAACCCACGCTTTCTCCCAAACCCTGAGAGTGCGTTCATGGCCCCTATACCCCGCTCTCCCTCTCTGGGGAGCTTTCTCTTCCTTCGCAGCCCTCAGGATACTAGATTACGATTAAGAGAGAAGAGGTGAAACCAGCACTTTCTGAACCCAGGAGAAAAGACTTGTCCAAGAGTTCAAACACAAGAACACCTCTCACTTCAGTCACAGGACAGGATCTGTGGGTGAGAAGGAGGTGCACCGAGGCCTGGGTCTAACTTCAACTTTCCCAAAGTCCTCTAGCATTGAATACCAGTGCTCCGTGCTTCCACAAAAAAAGCTGATAGGCAGAAGAGTTGCGGACCAGATGGACCACCCCCCCAAACCTTTGAGGGCAACTTCTCCATTGCCCCTGTTCCCTCCCTAACATGCCAGCGCCCCCTTCACTTCTTACCTCGCTGAAGTCCGAGGGCAACTGCCAGGTACCTGTGCTGCTTCTACCTAGCCCTTGGTCTTTTATCTTGAGTCGGGGGAGTGAGAGGGTGGGTCTCTTACAGTTTGTTGCTACCTATTCTAGGCCCAGCGCTGAGCTCCTAATTCTGCTGCCTCCAAGTCCGGTTTGATGGATTAAAGGCCTGAGTCGCCACACCCTGCAATCCTTCCTCTTGCAGAAGCAGTGTTTCATCTCCACACCCTCCCCAAAGACGGGCTCACACAGCCTTCATCTGTTGTATCTATGTTGTATCTGTTCTCGGCCCTTCAGTGCCCTCCCCCAACCCCTTGAGGCAGTTTCATGTCGCCCAGGCTAGTATGGGCCTTGCTATATCGTCTAGAATGACAGGGAACTCCTGAGTTCCTGTCTCCACCTTCTGAGCACTGGGATTAAAGGCATGTGCCGCTATACCAGTCCTAGGTGTGCTTGTAGGGCAGTGGGTAGGTAGCTGGAAAGATCTGAATGTCTGGATCCATGCTCCAATTCTTTTTTTTTTTTTTTTTTTTTTTGGTTTTTCGAGACAGGGTTTCTCTGTGTAGCCCGGGCTGTCCTGGAACTCACTCTGTAGACCAGGCTGGCCTCGAACTCAGAAATCCTCCTGCCTCTGCCTCCCAAGTGCTGGGATTAAAGGCGTGCGCCACCACCGCCCGGCCATGCTCCAATTCTTATTCTCCTTCCAAAACGATTGCCAACAAGGCTCTGAGGACATTGAATTGGGAAGAACCATTGAGCTTGGGGCTATCCATTTGAGGTACCATAGTGCTGGGGTTCCAACCTAGTTTGCTTACCTATGACCTCATACTCTGCCTCTCCCTCATTGCTTTTACTCTCTTTTAAGTAAGTCGAGGACAGAGATCATGCTTGTCTTTGTTGCTGTTTTCCAGAACGGCAGGGTTTCCCTATGTAGCTCTGGCTGTCCTAGAACTCGTTCTGTAGATGAGGCTGGCTTTGCACTCAGAAATCAGCCTGCCTTTGCCTTCAGAGTGCTGGGATTAAAGATGTGGGCCACCACCAGCCAATTCATGTCTGTTTTATTTAACACTGTGACCCAGACCCCAGGATATAATCTGGACACTAATACCTATAGGCCTTAGATGTTTGTTATTGCTGGGTCTGGTGGCACACACCTTTAATCTCAGCACTTGGGAGACAGAGGCCAACAGATCTCTGAGAGCAAGGTCAGCCTGGTCTACAGAGTGAGCTCCAGGACAGTCAGAGCTACATTCTGGTCTTGGAAAAAAACCATCCGGATTCTCTAGCGCAATCTCAGCCTAATTTCCAAATTCACTGATATGGTCGGGGAGCGCTGGTAGATGACTTTTGGCCCCCACTAATGATCTCCAGTTTTTCCTGCCCTGTTCTACTTTCTAGCCCAGTTGTGGGGGTGCTCACCTGCGCCTCCTGCAAAGTAACTCTGAAATAAGTGTAGCAGCGTTGGAGGGCGGCGTTGTGCATGCTAGGCACCTGCCCTACCACGGACATATTCTCAGGCCTAAGTATAGAAACTCCTAGTGTTTTCTCAAAGGTTTATTTTATTTTTGACTCTGTGTGTATGGCGTGTGGGTACCCACGGAAGCCATGGGCTTCCGATCCCCTGGAGTTGGAGGTACAGGCAGTGACTGCAGTAGAGGTGAGCTGCCCTACATGGGGTGCTGGAAACTGACCTCTGCTACTCTGTGAGCTCAGTACAAGCACTCTCAAATGCTGAGGTGTCTCTCCACCCCAGCATCTCTTCTCCCTGAGTAAAACTTTCAGATACTCCTGTCTGTCTTTCCATTTTCTTTACTTTCCCTTTTAAGTGTCAGAGAGTGAACCGATGGACAATCAGCCTTGTGTCTAAAGATGGGGTCAGAAATGGAAGGGAAGAGTAAGCCACAGTCCAGACATCAGAGGCACGTGCTCAGCACAGGGTCAACGTTCACTTTAGGACTTGGGTCACTTGACTGGGCAGAGAGCTTGTGGGGTGAAGAGTCATTGGAGGTGACAGAGCTTGCTCAAGTCTCTGGTGACCCTTGACTCCGGTGGCCAGAGTCGAGCTTTCCCGCTGGTCCTCGAGAAGAGGCTGAGTCACTTGCCCAAGGTTCCAAAGGCAAAGCCAAGAAGCCAGGAATACAAGGTCACGACCTGCTCATAGGAAGGAAGGAATAGTTCAGTTCACAAGGCCCACCTGAGGGAGGAAGACCGCTAACCTTTCCAGGAACCAGCTGGGTCTTGATCATGTGATCTGGACAACTGCCTCTGCAGATGGCTTTAGTATTTCCAGTTTTACAGAGGCAGAAACCCAGGGACATTTAGGAAGTACCTTGCCTGAAGACACGATGTGGTAATCCTAGGTGGTCAGATGCAGATCTGGACTCCTGGTGAAGCCAGAGAGAACAAAGAGGCGGGAGATGTGGCCAAGTGTCCTGTTTAGGCATTTCAGTTGGAAAGCACTGTTCTAGTTGTTACCAGGACTGAAAACATCCTGTCTAGCCTAGCCTGGACAATGATGGCCCATTCTGAAATTCTCTATCTTTCCTTCCTATGGCAGCTCCCCTGTCCTGCCAGCTCAATTTACACATGACTAACATTCGGTATAGGATATGTCAGTTTCCCAGAGTCACAGAGCTAGGAAGTGGCAAAAGACAAGATTTGATTTGTTGTTGTTGTTGTTGTTTTGAGACAGGGTTTCTCTGTATAGCCCTGGCTGTCCTGGAACTCACTCTGTAGACCAGGCTGGCCTCAAACTCAGAAATCCTCCTGCCTCTGCCTCCCAAGTGCTGGGATTAAAGGCGTGCGCCGCCACCACCGCCCAGCTAAAAGACAAAATTTGAAACAAGAAGGTTTTATTACACATTTATGTATTTGTTGGGGTGATATCTCCCTATGTAGGTGAGGTGGCTTGGAATTCCCAGTCCTCTTGGCTCAGCTTCCTGAATGCTAGGAATATAGGAGCCAGTCACCACATGCAACTGGGAGCTGAGACATTTTCTTTTCCCCCTTGGGAGTTCATGTAGTTTAGGCTAGTATCAAACTTACTATATAGCATGATCTCTGTCTGTCTGTAGCATGACCTCTGTCTGTAGTATGATCTCTGTCTGCTTCTACCTCCTGAGTGATAGGACTGGTGTACCCTGCCACACCTGATCATGTGGTGCTGGGGAGTGGCTCTGTGCCAGGGCTTTGTGCATATTAAGTAGCTCCTCTTTCCACTGAGCCACAGCCCTAGCCCTCTCCCCCAACTGCATGTTTAAGATGATTTATGTATTTTTACTTTCTGTGCATTGATATTTTGTCTGCATGTGTGTCCGTGTGAGGGTGTTGGAGTTACAGACAGTTGTGAGCTTCATGTGGGTGCAAGGGCCTCTGGAAGAGCAGCCAATGCTCTTAACCGCTGAGCTATATCTCCAGCTGCACTTAATCAGACGGAGGTTCTCTTATGGTCAAGAAAAAGGTGCTGGCCCTAGAGGCTAGGAAGATGATATGGAGGGATGTTTATTTCTTTTTGGTTTTGTTTTTCTAAGACAGGGTCTTGATATTGCCCTGACTGATTTGGAACCCAGCCCCCCCCCTTCCCTGTCTCTCTGTCTCTGTTTCTCTGTCTGTCTTTAGAAACAGGGTCTCTTGTAGGCCAAGCCAGACCCCAGTTCACTATGAGGTTAACCTAGAACCCCTGATCCTCCCTCTCCTCTATATACCCATGCCCCACACTGGGATATTACAGCACCAAGTCTGGCAGGAGGCACATATTCTTTTTTTTGTTTGTTTTTGTTTTTTTGAGACAGGGTTTCTCTGTGTAGCCCTGGCTGTCCTGGAATTCACTCTGTAGACCAGGCTGGCCTCGAACTCAGAAATCTACCTGCCTCTGCCTCCCAAGTGCTGGGATTAAAGGCGTGCACCACCACTGCCCGGCCAAGGCACATATTCTTGAATGAAATACTTTCTTTTCTGAGCACACTTGGGCCTATTAGTTTTGTTTGGTTGTTTGTTGTTTGTTGTTGTTGTTGTTGAGACAGGGTTTCTTTGTTTAGCCCTAGCTGTCTTAGAACTCTCTAGAGCTGGAGGTTAAAGGTGTGCACCACCACAGTCAACTAACTTTGCTTTTGTTTTGAGATAAGGTCTCTCTCCAGAGCCCTGGCTATGCTAGAATTCACTGTGTAGACCAGGCTGGTCCAGAACTCATAGAGATCAGCCTGTCTCTGCCTCTAGAGTTATGTTTTACCTTATGAGGTTGAACATCCCTTAAATTCCAGCCTCTGGAACCGTTTGACTAGGTATGAGGACATCTGCTTTTGAACTTTTGTGACATCAGGTCCCTTTGGACCTTGTTTTCCCGACTAGGGAAGGTTCTCAGAGTCTTGCAGGTTTTAGGGGCTGGTTGTTATTTAATGGAGACCAGAGATTGAGTCTTAAGGGTTCCTCCTCTAACTACCTAGAGGCCACACAGTCCCCTGGAACCCTCAGATCCCAGCCAGGCCCAGAGGGCATGGTTAGGAGCAGAGCTGGGCTGGGTGAGGTACCCTTTTTTACACAGGCATCAGCCTGCCTAGTCACCTGGGTCTGCAACCTCCGGAGGGCACGGCAAGGAACATTTTTGAAATATTCTGGCCTGAGTCCCTGGGCTCACCCAAACATGCATAAGCCTGTCTGCTGCCCCGGTGGCACGTGGAACATAAATCTGTCCCTGTCCCAATCCCTGTGGAGAAGACTCTGAATCGTCTTTGTTTGCTGGTTGTGGCTTTCACAGGCTTCTGTACTGTGCAGTTCTCGTTAAACTATGTGAACCTGTCTGACTTTGAATTGCTCTTCTATGGATCCAAACGGGCTGTCCCACGCCTACTGGTCCACAGAGGGGATTGGGCAACAACATAGCACAGGTCAGGGCTCAGATCTTCAAAGCCAGATCCTTCAGAAGCTGGGAACAGTGTGTATTCTCCGGCTATCCATGCATCACAACCATGCTATGCTTCTTTGTTCGTTCTCTCTCTCTCTCTCTCTCTCTCTCTCTCTCTCTCTCTCTCTCTCTTAACAAAAACTCAGGGGGTGGAGTTATGGCTCGGTGGCTAGCAGTTAAGAGCACTGCTTGTCCTTTTGGAGGACCTGGGTTTGATTCCCAGCACCCACATGGCGGCTCCATGATCATCTGTAACTCCAGTTCTGGAATTCACAGGCACCAGGCATGCCACAGTGCACAGACATACATGCAGGCAAACATCCATACTCATAAAAATACAATTAGACAAATATTGACTGGGTACTGCACTGGGAGCGGGTATAGACCCTGTCCTAGGTTAACTTACAGTCTGAAGGAGACTGGGCAAGAAAACAGGCCTTCCAAAAGAGTGTGAGGGAAAGCCAGGCCTAGTAGCACAGTCCTGTAAGGCTGAAGCAGGAGGATGGCAAGTTTAAGGCCCTTCTGGTCTGTAGAG